GTGACAAAAAGTGGTAAACAAAAAAATGAAATTGCCAAGCAATTTAATATTCCACCCAGTACACTTTCAACTATTCTGAAAAATAAAGACGATATTTTACAAAAATACGAAACTAATAAAGGGTCCATGAAAAGAATGAAGATTTGTGAGTATCCCAATATAGAGGTTAGTTTACTCATTGGTTTATTCAATGTAGAGATTTAAACATTCCAATAAATGRACCAATTTTAAAGGAGAAGGCTGAATTTTTTGCTTTTAATTTTAATTATAGTTTATAAATATACATATAAATATATAATACTTCTAATAAAAAAAAATAAAAAAATAAATTAATGTCTAACTCGAATTTTTTCGTATTTTTAAAAAAATTCGAGTTATGTAACCCGAAAAATACATAAGTCGAATTTATTTTTATGTCCCTTGACATTCGAGTTATCGAGACTCGACTGTATTTAGAAGGGGTAGCATAGGTGAACTCTCCAGGTATACATTTTTCATTATGTAAATACTACTTGAGATTATAGTTATCATAATAATTATAAAGTAATATAACTACATAATACAATTAGCATGAACCTTTTGTATATTATAATTTATAATCGTTGATAATATTTATCATGGAAACTAGAAGCGGATGAATTACACTACAACATACAACTCTTAAAAGGCAGCTGTAAATAATATATTATAATACCTATAGGTAATACCAATCATTATATGGTGCATTCTTGGCTTGAAAATATTTAGGTTAGGTGCAGAGATTGCTGATAATAATAATATAATATTATCCTATATTATAATATAATATAATGCTTAGTTATGAGTTTTAAGGAAATTAAGTTTTAATCACTATTAAACAACTTCATATTATAATTATTAATTACAATAATAATAATAATAATAATAATAAAGTTTGTTATTTATCGTTTAGGTACTGCGCCATTGTGAACCCTATCCGACGGCACGTGTCATCAAAGCCTTTCACTTTGATGACGGCCATAGCCATATGGATGTTGGCCGTGGTTCTGGCCACGCCGTCGGCCACGTTYTCGCACCTGGCCACCGAACCAATACCCAATACGAACATGACCATCGAATACTGTTACCCGTTTCCAATGGAGCTGGGCAGCGGTTACGCACGGGGCATGGTCATGTTCAAGCTGCTCGCGTACTACGTGGTGCCGCTGTGCGTGATCGGTTGTTTCTATCTGCTGATGGCCCACCACCTGATGGTGTCCACGCGCAACATGCCCGGGGAGCTGCAGCACGCCGGCCAGTCGGGTCAGATTCGGGCCCGGAAGAAGGTGGCCAAGATGGTGCTGTCGTTCGTCGTCATATTTATGATCAGCTTCCTTCCGTACCACGTGTTCATGGTGTGGTTCCACTTCAACCCAAACTCACGCGACGAGTACGACGACTACTGGCACGCGTTCCGCATCGTCGGCTTCTGCCTGAGCTTCATCAACTCCTGCGTGAACCCTGTGGCGTTGTACTTTATCAGCGGCGTGTTCCGCAAACACTTCAACCGCTACCTGTTCTGCTGCTGCCCGTTCGCCGGTTCCGGTCAAGCCACCGTCGAGTCCACCATCCAGGACATCAACTTGACGCACATCAACAGCACCTCGTGCCGGCGACTCAACTCTGTCGTCACCAGCCACGCGACGACGCTCGGCCACGCCACCTGACAGGCGGCCTGTGGCAGCAGGCCCAACGCCAACGGCAAACGCTCCGAAGACTGCAACGTCGTCTGATAACGATATTGCGTATTATAATGCAATGTCGATGGCGAGGGCGGTGATCGCACGGTATTTTATACACGACGTACAGATATTATATTATTTTGTCTTGATAACGTTAGCGATACTATCACAGATCTCGGTACAATAATATATTATAAATAGGTTACAACGAGGCTCGAGCTTTACGCATCACATCGTTCGTATAATATTATATGATATTATTTATAACGAGATGTGTAAATGTGGCGTGATGACTGGTAGTATAGATTTCTTTCCGTCCAGAAGACGTGTCGTCGGTTACCGTCACGTWCACACCAACACACGGCGGTACACCCGGAGGCGGATTTTCACTATACGCGTGTGACGTGTACACGTAAAATGGGTTCAGGTAATGGGTTCAGCTATGTCCGACAACACGGTAACGTGGTTGATCATGTGGTAACCTAACCTAATTGATCAATCGCAGCAAATAAGATTTTCGCGAACGCGTGTAGTGGAAACCCGCCAAATGGTGCAGGTCTATACGGCTATATACTTTTTTACCGGATGCATTGACACCTCCTATGGGGCCGGGGCACCTGTAATGTAATTTTGCACCCGGACACTATTTTTTGTGAAACATTTATATTATACGTAATTATTATATTTAAAAAAAAAAAAATATTTATTTATTCGCGTAAATTTGCGTAACGCGCCTACGTTATGTGGTGGGTAACAGCGCACGATAAGGTCGCGGGTCCATCATCACTGCAGYGCCATTTCATCGAACAAATTGCACCCCCTCCCCGTCGTTTGTTTTTAATAATAATAATATGATCTGTGATATTATCGTTATTCGTTACAGTAAAGTTGTATGCAGCAGCTATACGACGACACGCCCTCGCCATCACCGCGCTATATATTACGAGTATTAATAGTATTATACAAAAACGATTTATTTTTCAATGTTGCTCTTCGTCCCCGCCATCTCGTCGTTTCTTCTTTTCGCCGGCACAACTTTTTTCCCGAACTCGACGGCACGAGTAATGTCGGCGCATTACCGCCACTGCCCGCACCGGCTCACTCGTAAATCGTTCCACCGAATCCATATTACTTCCGTAGATGTAATCCACGTTTATATATATTATATTGTGTACGGTATAGATGTGTTCGCAATAGGTGTAAGTACCGACCGACAGCGGCTTTAAGATAAATTTTCTTGTTCGACAAGTTTCCAGCTTCGGTATAGTCAAACTACGTATATGTATATATATATATATATAAAAGTTGAACGTCTTCACTGCACACGAGGCCGTGCACAAAATACGATGTGACAATGTTATTGTTGTTATTATCATATGATTATTATTTTATAGAAGTGATATGTTGAGTTGTAGTTGATAAGCTACTACTATTCGTGGAGCAGATTTTTTACACTATACAACACATCACGTCGGCTTTGTGTCTTACGCGACCTTAATTTTTTTTCTCCACACACGTCTTATAATATTTATGTAATTTATTTGCTTTTAATAATATTGTATCGACCTCTCTACTACCTATCCCGAAACTTTTTTTTATAATTAATTCAATTTATGAAACTTAATTAATTATAAAGACTTACTATGTTTTCTTAATAATATTATATGATAACTGTATATCATATTATGTTTGTATATTTTCACACTTATACCTTACCCAATATTATACTACGTATTATATGTGATATGTACCTATATAATTACAAGATTATATAATAAAACGTACGAATACGAATATTGTTTGCATTTATTTTGCCATGTTAAATAAATATACGTCACAAATKATATTTTATCGATGGATTAATATAATTCATTGAAGACTATTATACCCATTTTGCTATTTTAATTTTTTTATTTGCCAATACAATGTATAAAGCACACACTACGCATCTTGAAACATTTCTTCCAGAACGATCAATGTAAAAAAAAATATATTTAAAGGCTTACGTCTTAAGATGAAGTGTCTAAGAGGTAGGATCGATCTATCCATACAGCTACCAAAATAATATTAATGTTATTTTGAAATACGTTAATCTCTTATCATTGGTGTGTGCATTTCGGAAATTATTTCAACCACATGAATCAAAATAATATTTTGATCTTAAACGTATTACATAGATAATGTTATAACATGCATAATAACAACACCAATAATCATATTTTTAATCAAACCTGAGTAATACAAATATATCAACATAAAACAACTGAAAATAAAGCAGTAGGTATACTTGGTAGTTGGTTACAAATTATACCAAAAATATAAAGTTATATAGAGATAATTTCCATTATTAAATTACATTTTTAGTTGAATATTATTAGAAAATACTAATGTATAGTAAAAATGTTTGTTATTAATACTAGCAACTATTTTTTTTTATTATTCTATAAATTCTAACGTGATTCGAGAAACCAGCAAAGAGCCACAGGTGGTGTGCTGTCATACAACTGTAAATATATTTTGATGCAGTGACTTATATAATATACATACATATACAACGTCTATAACAGGAAATACAACACTCAAAAATTGCTAAAATAATAATCTAATAGATAATGAGTATCAGGTAATTTATGACTATTTATTTAAAAACTTTTGTTCGATAATTGATTTCCTAAGCATTTTTTTATTTATACACATATTGTGAGTTATTTATTTAAAAAGGTTAAATCTGCTTCAAAATTAATCTATCTTAAATCTGCAGTAAATAYAGATTGAATACTTAGAAATAATTTACCAATAGWACTAATAAAAGTTATCAAGTATTAATTTAGCCTAAGCTATTTCGTAAAATGTATGATATTCTTAATTTTTACCTTGCTATATTTAAAATTCAATATTCATTCGTAGAAATAAAAAATATATTTAAATAATTTAACAACGTACCTTAAGTATTACGTATATA